TATTAATTTTCATCCATTTAATTAAACTTTAGTGCTATTTCATTACTATACAATTAAACTCTGTTCACCCTAAAATTTAGTTTTCAAAAGCAATATTATTAAGTTAGAACTCATTAAATGTATTGTTAGTTTGTAAGTGAATAGCGGTATTCTTTAAAGTAACAGTTAAGGAGGGAGAATATTAAAAAGCTTACATTACCTTGCAAGGGTTAAATCATGGTGGTGGTATTCTAATGCTTTGGCATAATCATGCAAGTAGAAATAAGCATTGCCCAGCTGGCTGTAAATAGCACTAAGTGTTTTTAGGTCTTCAGTTCCAACTTGAACGGCAGCTTCAAAAAATGACACACCAGCACGACAGTCTCCTGATTTACACAGACGTTCTCCTTCCAAGGCTAGCTCAAGGCAAGAAGCTTCCATTCTGCAAAATTATACAGGACAGATATCTGTAACATACAACTACATCATTTTAGAACTTCCAATAATATAATTTAAATGTGGGCTTTGTGGCTACTCTTGATCAGAGCAATGCTTAACTGAATTACACATAAATTGATAAAGCAGTAAACAGTTATTTGTGACAACTAATTTGCCTATTCAAATTTCTCTGAGCCTCAGAGGTCTGTTAGAGTAGCCAAATATCTTCATATGAAGCTCATTATAATTGGCCCAGCCAGTGCAACTGATTTTAACTAGAGAGACAATCTAAAACTGCTTCCAAAACTACTGAGTTCTGTCAAACTATGGGCTTCCTAAGAGTCTGAGGAGAATAAGGATGACTGGGAAGGTAGGATACTGTGATCACCACTGTTCTCTATCCTAGTACCACTCACCTGTCCACCAGCCTCTCCATCCATCTGTTGATCCTTCCACCTACTTTTTCTTTCTTTTTCTATCTCGCACACACACAACACACACCATTCTCTTTCCTACAGTCTAAAAAATAAAGGAACAAAACTTGCTTTGCAAGCACAAGGACCTGATTTTATTCATACACACACACACAGAGGGCACATACATACATATTAAAAAGAAAGCAATAAGCCAAGCATGGTGGCACATGCTCTAATCTCAGCACCTGGGAGGCAGAGGCAGGCCAATCTCTGAGTTCAAGGCCAGCCTGGTCTACATAAAGTGTTCCAGGTCAGACAGGGCTACACAGTGGGACCTTGTCTCAAAAATAAAATAACTTGAGCTGGGCATAGTGTCATGCACCTTTAATCCCAGCCTTTGGGAAGCAGAGGCAGGCAGACCTCTATGAGATCTAGATTAGCCTGGTCCACGTAGTGACTTCCAGGTGGGTTGGGACTAGGGAGACCCTGTTAAAACAAAACTAAACAACAACAACAACAAAAAGAAAATAATAACTGGGCATGATAGTACATGCCTTTAATTCTAACACTCAAGAGGAAAAGGCAGGCAAATCTCTGTGAGATCAAGGCTAGCCTGGTCCACACAGCAAGTTCCAGGTCAGCTGGGGTTACAGAGAGACCCTGTCTCAAAAAACCAAAATAAGGGGGTGGGGGGCTGGAGAAACGGCTCAGTGGTTAAGAGCACTAGCTGCTCTTGCAGAGGACCCTGGTTCAGTTCCCAGCACCCACATGGCAGCTCACAGCACCTCCAGTTCCAGAGGGTCTGACACCTTCTTCTGGCCTCCATAGGCATTTGCATGACATGGATGCACTAACATACATGCAGGCAAGACATTCATACACATAAATAAAAATAAATAAAAATTTAAAAACAAAAGTAAAATAATAAATCAAAAAGGAACAATTTAAAGATTTTCAGAAATTCTAATTCTTCAATTTGTTCTAAATTTAAAAAAAGAACACAAAACTAAAACAGAACCGAGTCACTACTGCTGGTTCTTTGAGTCACCGCGTACCTTAGAGAAAAATACCACCACTGCTACTTTCAGCTATAACCCTAACTGTGGGGGTTCCCTTTGCCAAGGCTGTCTAGCATCTCATGGTGTCTCCCATGTCGACCTACCACTGACTGTTCTTGCAGAAGATCTGTGTTCGAATCCCAGCACCCACATGGCAGCTAACAACTGTCCATAACTCCAGTCCCAGGGGATCCGACAGCTTCTTCTGTCCCCTGCAGGCATTGCATGACATAGCTGCACTTACGTACATGCAGGCAGTACATGCATACACATAAAAAATAAAATATTTTAAAAATTGTCTTAATACAAAAAGTACCCATATAACTGTAAATTTTAAGATATTTATATTTATTTTCTAATATACATTAAACATGTAATGATTGAAATTTAAAAGTAAAAATTTTCTTATGTACCGTGTGTATCATTCTTTGAAAAGCTCTGATTAGCTCATCAAACTTTAAAAATTTTCTAACAGCTCTCAATGACTCCTGACTAGAGTCAGGTCTATGCCATTCTAACAGAGCAGTGGTTCTTAATCCTGGCTGCACAGTAGCAGAGCTCAGGGTGGGCTTTTTAAAAACTCAGTGTTAAGTCCTGCTGTCTACAGGGAATTCTACTGTGCAAGCGATGGCTGAGTCACTGCTTTAACAGGAAGGGATAATTAAAGTACTATATATCCTAATGTATACTTTGTGTATCTAGCAGCAAAACACGTTTGTTCTGGTAAAGGTCTCAGTCTCTCCTCCACTCCCACCCCCCATACAGTGTGTTATCATACACTATGTTATCCAGGTGGGTACTGAACTTCTGGACTCAAGTGTACTCCTCCTGCCTGAGCCTCACAGTGGCTTGCGCTACAGGTATATGACACTGCCCAGCTTAAGTGCTTTTAGTCTATAAAACTTCAAGTGCTTAGATCTATACATTAAAATGGGATTGTATAAGTAGAAAACAAATCTTATGGAGCCAGAAGTTACAGATGAAGATCAACAGAACCAACTGCAAAGGTTCAAAGTAGACTCTTGATTTAGAATAAGCAGTTTTCTAGAGCAATCTGTAATTAGTAATTGTCAAATTTTATATTCAGGTCTTTTTTAACAATTCAAAAGAGTTAGCCAATGTGTACTGCTTGCTATATGAACAGTAATTTTACCTTCGGTTTATGAATTTATAAAAGCCTAAGATATTAGTAAATAAGCCTCAAACATTTTGTTTCAATAGTAGATAAAGCCAATTAGATATTAAGAGGGAAGAACTAAGTACATGGAAAGATAAAGATACCTGATTAAGTTGATTAAACTGGTTTAAGTTTTTTCACAATTTCATATGCATATACAATGTACTTGGATTGTGTTCCCCCACTACTCCCTCTTACCCACTCCCCATCCTGACAAACCCTCTCTGCTTCCCAACAAGCACTCCTACTTTCATGGTTTTTTATTCATTTCCTTATTTATTTTTGTACCCCACTTAATGTAATTAGGGCTGCCTGCATGAGCATGGGTAGGAAGTTACTGACTTGGACAAGGACAACTTACCAGTGGCTGCCACACTGGGAACTATGGCTCCCCTCCCCTAGCAACCATGAACTGCCTATAGCTCCAGAGGAAGGGGTGGAGCTTCATGAGCCCCTCCCCCATTCATGGTGGAATGTTGATGGGCCCAGGCTTGTGCAGGTTTTTAACCAGCTACTGGTCTATTCTTTTCTCTCTTCATTTACATCCATATAAAGCAGATGTGTCTTCTTCAACTAAGTATCATCAGCACAAATATTTGGCCTTCTGGATTTTTAAGTTTATACATGACATCATCAACCCAAATGATTTGATACGCAACAAAATTTAGCTGTAGGCTAAATGGTATGATAAGAGTTATACATTGTGTGTGCATGTATGTGTGAGTATGCTTGCCCATGCATAAACACGGGGAGGCCAGAGATTTAAATCAAATGCCCTACTCTCTCTCCACCTTTTTTATTTTTTAAATTATACCATGTGGATGCTAGGAAGCAAACTTGTGTACTCTGCAAGAACAGCCAATGTACTTAACTACTGAGCCATCTCTCTAGCCCCCAACATCTTATTTTTTGAGACAGAGTCTCTAACTAGCCTGGAACTTTCCAAATATCCTATTACTACCTGGCCAGTGATTGCCAGAAATCCACCCATCTCTGCCTCTACAGCATTGTACCACCAAGTCTGGATTTTGTTTGGTTTTGGGTTTTGTTTTGTTTTGTTTGCATTCTGGGACTCAAACTCAGGTCAGCAGGTGGCAAGGCAAGCAGTTTACCAGCTGGGCCATCTTCTCAGTTCCCCAAATTACATATGTATATTGGTCTTTTTGAGACAGGGTCTCCCTGTAGCACCAGCTGCCAAATTATGCCTTTTTTAATCTTTTAAATCTTTATTTTTCTTATTTGTATGTGGTGTATGTGTAAGTGTTCACCACCAGTTCAGAGGCCAATGGAAGATGCCGTGCATCCTGTACTATTACTCCACCTTACCCCTTTAAGATAGGGTCTCTCACTGAACCAGGACTCAATTTTCTTTTTGGCTAGGCTGGATGGCCAGTACCCCAGGGATCTACCTGTCTCTGCCCTTTGCCAACACTGGGGTTGCAGGTGTATTCAGCCATGCCTGTCTTATGTGAGTGCCGGGGATCTGAACTCAGGTCCTCAGGCTTGTGCAGCAAGCACTCTCCAGCCTCCAAGCCAGTTCCTCAGTCAGTCCCTCCCTCCCTCCCTCCCTCTCCAAAGGATTTATTTTTCTTCATGTGTCTGTGTGTATGTGTCTAGTGAATATATACCATGTGTTTGCAGATGCCTCAAGGCCAGAGGAGGGCATTATATCTTCTGGAGCTGGAGTTACTCATGAGTATGAGCCATCCTGTACGGATGCTAAGAATCAAATTCGAGTCCTCTAGAAGAGCAGTAAGCACTTTTAACTGTTGAGTCATCTCTCCAGCTCCTATTTTAATTCTTTTTAACTTAAGCATAATAGTCTCATTTTTACAATATTAAAGTATTGAAATGTTTATTACTCATAGTGGTAAGTAAAACAGGGACCTGTCCCAAAGAAATATAAAACTATAGAAGCTAGTACAGTGAATGCAATATGTCCCTCTTTCAATGTGAGCGAATACCAATACATGAGATGTCACCAGTGCGCTTCATCTCTACTCCCATGCTCACTTGAAGTAAACTCCAGGACATATATAATTTTACTTACAAATATTTAGTATTTAGTTCTCAAAAGTAAATATTTTCAAAAAATACAATCATAAGTATTTTAAAGAAAGAATTAGGATCACTTGAGCTCAGGAGTTTGAGACTAGCCTGGGCACACAGCAAGATCGTGTCTCAAAACCAGCAGAGAGAGAGAGAGAGAGAGAGAGAGAGAGAGAGAGAGAGAGAGAGAGAGAGAGAAACTTATATCATCACACCTACAATTCTCTAATGTCAATCATAATCTAAACTTTTTTCAAGTTTAGAAATGTATTCCATTTTTCTATCAGTATACCCCTTTCCAAGTATGTGTAAAATAAACCCCTGGGAGGTTCCTTAATATCCAAGGAAATATTCCATTTCAAAGTTGCAGTCACTGCACTACAGAAACTCCTTGAAGGAAAGATGGGGCCATCTACAATGAAAGAATCAGATGGGAGGCTGGAGATTGCTCAGTGGTTAAGGACACTGGCTACTCTTGCAGAGGACCCAGATTCAATTCTCAGCACCCACATAGCAGCTTAGTGTCCGTAACTCCAGTTTTAGGAGATCTAACACCTTCTTCTGACCTCCTTAGGCACTGCACGACACAGGTGCACCTACACACATGCAGGCAATACACTCATATACATAAAAATATTTTTTTAAAAAAGAAATAGCCAGATGGATAAACCATTACATACTAAGTATTTACTAGAGTAGAAGAGGAACATACAGTTCAGTTCATCACCTGAAATTACACAACAATCTACAATCCACAGAATGCTGTATCTTAGAACCCTGATGAAGCCAGGAATGTGTTTGGTATATTTTTACTAAAGATAGTTACAGATTTTGAAGTTCTCCTTGGTGAAGTCCAATAGCAATGTGCAACCACGTTTGACCTGTCTCTCTCTCTCATGGAAAAAGAACCAAACAAAGATCTTCCCACAGGCAGGGCTCCAGGGCGCTCCCCCTCATTTATGGTTCTTCTGCGGTCTCAGAAAGCAGAGCACTCTTCACAACGACAAAACGCACATAAGGATGTTAGTGGTTCATCTGATGGCTATGTCAAATGAAGTTCAATGGGCATGCACACCAGACAGCATGCTAGGCTTCAAGGCTGCCCTAAGAAACTAACAGTCAAAGGAGGAAGGACAGGTAAAGAAAGAAAAACAGCCATAAAAGTAGCCACTCCTTAATAGTTTGTGCTAGGAAAGAAATATGCACAGGTCATAATGTGAGCACGGGGAGGAGGCACAGCCAAATTAAGGAGTTCGGAAATCGTTTCCAACAGATTATCTCTAAGCTAAATCTTAGACATAGAGTTAGCTAAACCAAGAAGATGGAAAGGAAATTCAGGTCACCATGCATACATACTCAGAAGCACTGAGACCTGGAGCAGTGTAATGTTCCAGGAAGCAGAGCTCAAAGTACAAGATGGAGAAGGCAGGAGGCAAGTGTAAAGCACAGGTGCAAGTCAAGACAGTGGAGCATCTGATACACTGTTTAGCTTGGCTCTGTTCCAGGCACCACTATGGTTACATAGTTAGCTCTGTATTTTCACACTGAACATCCAAGTGACCAATTAAAAAGACAGATTCCAGCCTGGCGAGGTCGCACAAACCTTTATCCCAAGAGCTCAGCACTTGGGAGGCAGAGGCAGGCGGATCTCTGGGAGTTTGAGGCCAATCTGATCTACATAGAGAGTTCCAGGTCAGTTGGGGCTATAGAAAGACCCTGTCTCAAAAAAGAAAAAAAAAAAAAAGTAAGAAAAGGCAGATTTGGAGATCCTGAGGGCCTAAACTAGTGCAGTGGCAGGGAGGATGTAGATGAACAGATGAATCTAAGAAACATTCAGGAGATCAAGCTGGCAGTAGTTTCCAGGATACACAGTAAAAAGGAAAGGAAGTATGCAACTTTCAAGTTAGGGGAAATACAGACTAATGGGTAAGGTGAGAGTATTTCATACTAAATGCTCATTTGATGTTAGATATCTCCCATTGTTCTTTTTCTGAAAATGCTCATTCTTTCATTCAGTCATTCATTTTTGAGATAAAATCTTACTCTGTAGCCAAGGCTGGAACTCACTCTATAGCTCAGGCTGGCCTTGAACCCACAGCAATAACTCCTACTTCAACCTCCTGAGTGCTGAGATTATAGGTGTGAGCCACCATGCTTAGTTTTTTTAAATTTTATTACATTTGTTTGTTTATTGTGTGGGTGTGACAGGGTTGAGGGTACATGTGTGTGCCATTGCATATGTGTGAGATCAGAGGACAACTTTTGGGAGTCAGTTCTCTCCTTCAACCATGTGGGTCTCAGGAACTGAACTCAGGTCTCTGGGCTTGCACATCAAGTGCCTTTATTTAACTGAGCTATATTGCCAGACTGGGAGGATTTATTTTTAATAGACATGTCCTTAGTGGGCTGAAGTGCTGGCTCAGTTAGTAAAGCATTCTCAAGAAGGACATGAATTCTGGGCTGGTGAGATGGCTCAGTGTGTAAAGGTGCTTGCTGCCAAGCTGGTCACCTGAATTCTATCCCTGGAATCCACAGGGAAGGAGAACCAACTTCTGAAATGAGTCCTCTTACCTCCACATGTGCACAGTGGCATGTGTATGTACACTGTTGCCCCCTACTTCCCTCCAACACACTAAATAAATAAATGTAATAGACATTTAAAAAAAAAAAAAAAGGTCATGAGCCAGACTTGGTGGAGCACACCTTTAATCCTGGCACTTAGGAGGCAGAGGTGGACCTCTGTGAGATCAAGGCCAGCCTGGTTGGTCTACAGAGAACAAAACCAAACCAAACCCTGTTTGGGACTAGAGAGATGACTCTGGTTAAGAGCAGTGGTTGCTCTTCCAGAAGGAACAGATTTGGTTCCCAGCGCCCACATGGCACATAGTAATGATCCGTAAGTACAAGTGGTGCACTTACACACATGAAAGCAAAATACTCACATATTGAAAAACAAAAAAGATCCTGTATCAAAAAAAAAAAAAAAAGGTGGATGTCACTTGAGGACTGACACTAAAATTATCCTCTGGCCTTCACATAAGTGTGTACATGTACGTTCACACACATACACACAAACACACACACAGAAAAAGAAATGGCCTTACTTTATGTAAGCTTCCTTGGCAACATGCCTTAACAAGAACCATCTACTTCAAAGTATGAATCTCCTATTTATTAAACATATGTTAAGACATGTAGGACTTAGTAGCAAACGCCTTCACTCAGGAGATTTTGAGGGCTGGGAACTTAGCTCAGTGGCAGAGCACTTGCCTGCTATGCACAAGGCCTCAATTGATTGGCTTCAATCTCTAGTAGAAGAGAAAGAGAGAGAAACAGAAAGAGATTTACATTAATTTTGTATTCTATTCACTGACACGAACCTCTGATGTTTGTTACAGTAACCTGTAATAGTTTTGATAAAGAATATACCATTCGAGAACAACCTTACTAAATAGTTACTTTTTGTGGTTTAGTGCAATAACCAGAACGTCTAGAGTAAATGTCTAATAATAATAATAATGGAGATATACTTGCTTTGTTCATATTATATCAGAATTACTAAATATTAAACTGAATATTGATGTCATTTTTAGAAAGTGTCTACCCAGTCCATTTTATTCAATCCTTATTTGTTTGAGGAGCTGGAGAGATGGATCAGCAGTTAAGAGTACTTGCTGCTCTTGCAGAAGACCTGGGTTTGGTTCCCTGCACCCATATTGGGTGGCCTGTAACTCCATCCCCAGGAAATCTACTACCCTCTTCTGGCCCCCTCATACATCAGGCACACACAAACACAGTGCACATATATACATGCAGGCACTCACACATACACATGAAATCAAAATAAATTTTTTAAAAAATACTTGTTTGTGGGGCTGGAGAGATGGCTCAGTGGTTAAGAGTGCAGACTGCTCTTGCAGAGGACCTGGATTTGATTCCCAGCACTCACATGGTGGTTAACAACCATCTGTAGCTCCAGTTCCAGGGGATCTGACGCCTTCTTCTGACCTCTGTGGGCACTACATGACACAGATGCATTTACACCCACAAAGGCAATACACTCATACACAAAATTAAAAAAAAAATAAAAACACTTATTTGCTGAGCATGGTGGCTCACATCTTTAATCCCAGCACTTAGGAGGCAGAGGCAGGCAGATGTCTGTGAGATCAAGGCCAGTCTGGTCCATATTATGAGTTTCAGGCCAGCTGGAGCTACATGGAGACCATCTCAAAGCAACAACAACAAAAACTTTACCTTTTTTATAAGGCCGTCTATGAAAGATCACTATTTAAAACTGTACAACAGCTAGGTCCTTCAGTCAACTAAATTTAAAAAAAAATCATCTTTTACCCACAAAAAGTTTGAAATATGTTCCATTTTTGTTTTTACAGCGTATAAAAATTACAAAATATAAAGTAGCTAGTCATAAACTCTTCCAAAGAATATTAATAAAGTAGCAAATAATTAGTCTCTGCTACTATTTTCCCATAGAAAAGATACAAAAACTTATCACTGCCACAACAAAAACTCTGGTTATAAAATATACTAACAGTATAGTTTGAGTATTTTTATATTGAAGTTTGAAATGATCGAGAGTTAAATACATGTTTAAATAAAGATGAAAAGTCGTGTACTGAGAAGGCAAGCCTTACCTGTACCGAACATGAAAAGAATGGTCTTCCCTCACGCTCATCAAATTTTCCTCCATCGAGTCATACTACAGGCTGAGGAAAATATACAAGTATTTTATTTTGTGCCAATCCAGTTCTTTGCAATGCAAAAGAGTCTGCAGAACACTGTCCAGTTAGTACATTAATGAGTTGGTTAATGCATCCTAAGCTCCTGCTTCTTCTTTATTAATAATGAAAGGAGGTCAGTGTCAGACAGCTTAAAGGTTCAAATGTGTCCCAAATCCTTGCATCTCTGGCCCTTTCAGCAGCACTTCAGCAACGTTTCTGTAAAAGGAATACAAGATGCTTTGCTTGAAGTCCTATTTTCAAAGAATAACCTGAAGCAACCCTGAGCTGCACATAATCACACTAACTCCACAGACTGCCGTTGGGTCAACCGCTACAGAACACAGCAGAGGTCTAACTGCCACCACAGACACTGTGTATAAATAATGATGGGAATTTAAGAGATTTGCTTGAGAATGACACTTTAATTTTTAAAACTGGTTTAAAACATAATAATCTTATGTAATTATTACAACCAATCATGAACAAAATGTATTATATTACTATCTTAAAGTTATGATACTTAGAACTATTAAAAGCTCTTAGTAATAAATCAGGCGAAAATCCAATAATTTTTTTTTAAAAAGTCAAACTCTGTAAATTTTTTTTTCAAAGAAGACACCACAGTGATATTTAAGTTGTATTTGCACTCATTTGCTCTCAAAATATTAAGTTCCTTAAGGTATTTAAAATATTTGCATTAATATTGAATAGGTACAAAGAAGAATTTAGGAAATGTGTATACAAAAAACCCCAACAATACAACAAAACACTTATTTAACACTACCCAGCATAAGACAAAGTGTGTTCCCATTGCCTGTGAAGTCTCTCAGGTCCCTACCCTAAGCATCACCTTCTTTTCCTCTGTCAGATGATCTCCAAAATAAATACTATTCATTGTTCTCCTGCCTACCTGTACACCTTTACCACAGATGTGCACATGACCCTAAATAATACAGTATTTCATTTTCTATGGTTTTGCGCTACATTGTTTCTGAGATTCATTTATTGCTATAATTTGCTTCTTTTTACTGCCTTATCACATTCCATTACACATTAACTGTACTTCATTATGCTGTGGGTTTGCATTTGGAGTGAGGTTTTGGTCCTATTTTTGCTATTATTGAATGAACTGTCACAAAGATTATTATTAATAATTTAGTGTACCAGTTAGGCAGCAAAGCAGATATAGTTAGAGAGAAAAATAAAACAGATGACCAGAAGAAAAAAGTCTTGCAGAGCAGCTGAGTGAAAGGGAAACAAAGGGAGAGGCTCTAACATACATGTAACAGGAGCACCAGAAAGAAAGGAGTGAAGACAAGACCTTAAGAAACAAGTTTCAGAATTAAAAGACACACCCAGCAGACTGAAGCAGCACACTCAGTGCTGACAGAATAAGACGTTAGTTAGTCTGTGCCCAGATCCATGACAGAGAACTGGAATGCCTCAGATAGAAACTATAACCTTATGGCAAAAACTGAGATAAATTAAGATATAAAGACATATAATCAGCTGGGTGTGGTGGCGCATGCCTTCAGTTCCAGTGCTGGGGAAGCAGAGGCAGGCGGGTCTCTGGGTTCGAGGCCAGCCTGGTCTATTAATGAGTGCCACACCAGCTGGGCAACACCACACCAGCCAACAAATCTCTTCCTTTATTTCAGAGTTCCATTGTGTATCTTTTCCCTTATTAACAACATCACGAAAAAAGCCAGGCATGGTGGCACATGCTTTTAGTCCCAGAACTGGGGAGGCAGGGCTAAGAGAATCTCTTGTGTAGATCAAGGCCAGCCTGGTCTACGTAGTGAGTTTTGGGCCTGCTGGGGCCACAGGGAGACCTTTTCTCTAAAAAATAAAAACAAAAACCGCTAAAGGGAGTAAGAGTAAATATTCAGAACAATAGCAAAGTGTATCTAGATTACACAACAGCCAAAGTGGCAACCAGTCCTCCATCATCCACTATGAGGTTTAGCCTGTTATTTATAAAATGAGATATAAGCAAAGATATTAGAATTCATTTAACTTTAAATTAAGTTGTATTTAAGTATTTTGTCATCTATGAGATCTTAATTTCCAAATTTTACTAATAAGTGAGATATCAATTTCACACTTGTTAAAATGTAAAAATTAAAGATGTTCACATGTATTTACTTGTTTAACACATTAACAAATTTTTATGAATTAAGTTGCAAAATACCTTACTTGATTAAAACTGCATAAAAAAGCATTGATTGAATGATTGATGATTGATTTATAGGTTTTTGAAACAAGACCTAGGATAGCCTTGAACTTGCTATACAGCCAAGAACTCCTGATCATCCTGCCTCCATCTTCCAAGTCCTGGGATTAAAGGCATACCCCACAAATAACTCCCAAGTACAATTTTTAATGGAGTTTTAGTATTCTCCAAATTATCCAAAGAAGTCACTCTCTAGTACTCTCTATAATTATTAACACCCTTTCCTCTCTTTCAATCCAGGGCCTCACACATGCTACACAAGTATTCTTGCATTTTACTTCTTAAAATTATTCACTGAACAAACGAGTAATTCTTGACTCATGCTTAATGCTGCAAGAGCACTCTAACACCAACTCCACAACACTGTATTCACTCATGCTCGCTCCACATTGCATGGAGTTAAAAACCCAGTTCATGCTTAGGGCCATGTCTGTGTTTACTCTTATGTATATATAGTAACACTAGTCAAATATATGTACTATATAAGGCTGACTAAACCCCGGTGGATGAACCTGCACTGAGGGACATCTTGGGACACTAACTTTACATAATAGGCCTTAATACAAATGACAGAATGTATGAACTTCAGTGGGGGGGGGCTATGGAAGGGTGTTAAAGAGGAGGGGGGTATAAAGATGATTTTATGTATGAAAAACACAAAAATTCAATGAAAAATTATTTTAAAAGTATATGTACTATATAAGGATTTTTCCTTAAATTCTAATAAAATTGTCCTAAAGCTTCTGTTTGAAAATCTCCTTGTAGCCCCAGCTGGCCTGGAACTCTCTATGTAGACCAGGCTGGCTTCCATCTTATAGATATCCAGCTGCCTCTACCTCCTGAGTACTGATTAAAAGGGGTGTGCCACCACACCCTGAGAGAATTGATCAAGTTTTAGTCTCCACCTTCCATCAAGGCAACTAATATTTGTAAGCAACATTCAGCCCCTTAAAGCATCTCCCAAACAATGCTCCAAAAACTGAGATACATAGCAATTTTTGGTCTGACTATAAAGAAATAAAGAGAATGTAATATTTTTCCCATATCCAGAAACTGACCGAAGTAGAGAAATCAACTAGCATGTAACTCTCACTGCTTCATTAACTACCCGACTAGAAGTCACACCAAGGAAACACCTGTATACACCTAGCGACTCCTAGGCACCAGCCAAGGTATGCGGCAGTGTAGAAAAAAGCTGGCCTTTAATCAAAGAAATTCTGCACCAGATTCACTCCAGTGACAGAAAAGTTTGCAAGCTACAGAACAGGAACAATGGAACACAGATAGCTACACTTCTTTGTTTCAGCTTCTAGAATTTATCCAAACTACCTGCAACTGGCTGCAATTTAAATGACAGGCTTGCTTCTTTCATTCAAAGATCTATATCAACTGGCAACACTCATCACATAAGGGACTTTTCTTGCCTCCAAGTCATCTAAACTGTTTCTTTAAACCTTTCATATCCCATTAATTTCTTCTAAGGTGCAATACTCAAATTCTCCAAATTCCTTTAGGTGTAATGTTTCAAGTCAAATACAATAGTCCTTTATCAACGTGAGCAGGAATAAATGTGCGGAAGAATCACAAATAAATTGAAAATAAGGTTCTGTTATTAGAATTCAGAGTGCAGGTTCTAGTAACACATGCACATCATAGTAACCATGGGGGAAATAAAATAAGATGCCAAAACAGCCACTTCTAGAATAAACTCTGTCCTAGGTGAACCAGTTATTTTCTGCCAAATTATGTGTCTGTAAGTAGACACTTTCTAGTTGCCCTAAATGTGGCTTGTCACCTAATTTGACTCCTCCCATCCTTGGACTCAGGATTGAACCATTGAACCTATAGCCTTATGCATGCCAAGCAGATGCTCTACCACTGAGTTAAAGCACCAGCTCCTCAAACTCCTATTTCTATTCAAACCCAGTAGATTCAAGCTGGCAAGCACAAAGAATAATAGATGCAAAATTAAGAGCACAATAGGGGAAGGAAGTTGGGGCTGGGGAGATGGCTCAATGGGGAAAAGTGCTTGCTATGCCAACGAGAGGACCCCAGCACTCAAGTAAAAAAAAGCCCAAGCATGGTGCGCATCATCTGTAACTCCAGTGTTAGAGATGATGTAGGGAGGAGGATCCTGGAAACTCAATGGCCAGGCTGTCTCCAAAAAAAAGTAAGCTTCAGGTTCAGTGAGACCCTGACTCAAAAGAGTAAGGTGAAAAGTGATAGAGGAAAACACCTAGTATCTTTCTCCGGCCTCTGCATGTGAGCGCTATGGCGCTCACACACACACACACACACACACACACACCCACACACACACACACACACAAACAAAAAAAAAAAAAACAAGGGCTGGAGAGATGGCTCCATGGTTAAGAGTGTAGAGTGCATACTGTTAAACCAGGCATGGTGGCACATGCCTTTAGTCCCAGCACTCAGGAGGCAGAGGCAGGTGGATCTCTGTGAGTTCAAGGTCAGCCTGGTCTACATAGTGAATTCCAGGCCCGCTGGGGCTACAGAGAGACCCTGTCTCAAAAGACCAAAAAAAAAAAAGGAGTGCATTCTGTTTTCATAGAGAACCCAAGTTCCATTCCCAGCAGCTCTACCATCTATAACTTCAGCACCAGGGGATCTGATGACTCTGGCTTCCAAGGGCATCTGCACTCACGTGCACATAGCACACACATAGACATACTACATATAATAGAAATAAAATCAATCTCAAAACGAGAGTAGGAAGTTAATCTAGGGGAAGATAAGAAGCATGTTTGTAAGGAAAGGCAAAGGGCAAGGTACACACAGCCCTCTAGAGCTAACACAGGTCTGAGTTTATTGTGGTAAGTATTCATGAGCCAACTAAAGGCCAGAAAACTTATTTTGACACTAGAACATGGTACTGATATGAGAAGCCAGTCCCTAAATTAGGGTAGTCAAACCCAGAGCAGGTGGGTACTTGATGATGCATCTGAGCACTAGAGAAAAA